AATCCCGAGAAGATCCAGGCCATCATCTACATGGAACCCCCACGCAATGTGAAGGAAGTTCAACGGTTGACGGGCCGCCTGGCAACCCTCAACCGCTTTCTATCTAAATCAGCGGAGAAGTCTTTACCCTTCTTCCAAATCATGAGGAAGACGGCTGGTTTTCAATGGACTTCAGAATGCCAGGAGGCTTTCGACGAGCTCAAACGATATCTATCTTCACCTCCTGTGCTCTCCAAACCCAAGGTAAGGGAGACCCTCTACCTCTACCTTGGGGTCAGCCCGACAGCCATCAGCTCTGTGCTCATCCGGGAGGAAGACGACATCCAACATGCCATCTTCTACGTTAGCAAGACCCTAAGGGAGGCCGAGCTCAGGTACTCTCCTGTGGAAAAGACGGTGATAGCCATCGTTTGGACCGTCAAGAAGTTGGGCCACTACTTTCAGGCTCACCCGGTTCAGGTCCTCACTCATCAACCCCTCGGCGCCCTCATGAGGAGCCCCACCAGCTCCTCCCGCATGGTGAAATGGGCTATCTTCTTGAGCCAGTACAACATTGACATCCGTCCAAGGCCTGCCATCAAGGGCCAAGCCCTGGCGGACTTTGTGACGGAATGTACCGCAAGGGCAGCCACGGATGGGGAGCCCTCGGCTACCTCGGACGACTGGTGGACCCTTTACACCGATGGCTCCTCTGCGACCAAAGCATGCGGGGGAGGGGTAGTCCTCATTACTCCCGAGGGCTTCAGAGCCTACTATGCAATCCGCTTCTCCTTCAAAGTCTCCAACAACGAGGCCGAATATGAGGCCCTCCTATGTGGCCTTCGGCTGGCTGCCAACATGAGGGCTCGGCAGATCCACATCAAATGCGACTCCAAGTTGGTCGTTGGCCAAATCTCCGAGGAATATGAGGCCAAGGAGGGAAGAATGAAACAGTACAAGGAGGCGGCCAAGGAGTTGCTTAAGGTATTTGAGGCACACTCTCTCACCCAAATACCGAGGGCTCAAAACTCCGAGGCCGACATATTATCTAAGCTCTCGACCGACTCCCCCGAGCACATCTCCAAAATTGCCAAAATTGAGGAACTCAGCCTCTCAAGTATCCATGCAAGCCCCGTTATGAACATACAACAACGCCAAGAGGATTGGATCTCAGATATCACCGCCTTCATCTCCACAGGGCAGCTACCCGAGAATGAGACCCGCGCTAAACTGGCAAAGCTGAGGGCTCCTAGCTACACCATCGAAGATGGAAGGCTCTACAAACGGTCTTACAACGGCATGCTACTTCGGTGCCTTCATCAGGATGAAGCCGAGGTCGCAATGGAGGAGGTGCACAGTGGAACTTGCTCAGCTCACCAGGGACCCTTCTCCATGTCCCGAAGGCTCATTCTCCAGGGCTATTTTTGGCCAACCATGGCCAGAGATTGTGCTGACCTTGCCCGAAGGTGCACCGCATGTCAACATTTCCAGAAAGCCCCCGGCAGGCCAGCGGTCAACTATGCCCCCATCAGCACATCCGTCCCCTTTTCTCGATGGGGGATAGACCTTGTGGGCCCTCTGTCGAGGGGTACCTCCAACAACAGATACATCATTGTGGCCATCGACTACTTTACCAAGAGGGTGGAGGCTGAGCCCCTCGCCAGTATCACAGAGGCGAAGTGCCGTCACTTCGTCCTCAAGAACATCCTCACAAGGTTTGGCATCCCCCAGCAGATCATCTCCGACAACGGAACACAATTTGAGGCAGCCCCCTTCTGTGCCCTTCTGGAGGCATGGGGCATCAAACACACCTTCTCCTCCGTTGCCTACCCTCAAGGCAACGGGCAAGTAGAGAATGCCAACCGGACCTTGCTCGAGGGCCTCAAAAAGAAGCTGGAGGCGGAGGGCGGTGGCTGGGTGGAAGAACTCCCCAACATCCTTTGGGCCTACCGCACCACCCCTCGGCGAGCAACAGGTGAAACACCCTTCTCCCTCTGCTACGGTTTTGAAGCCAAAGCTCCTACGTAAGTCACCTTTTCCCACCCGGAGGGTGATCCAATATGACCCCGAGGTCAACGACAGCAACATGGCCCTCGACCTCCACCTCCTTTCAGAACGCCGGGAGCAAGCCTTCATCCGGGCAGAAAACTACCGAAGGCAAGTCAAAGGCTACATCGACGCCAAAGTTCGCACCCGAGAATTTCAAGTGGGGGACTATGTCCTCCGGAGGAGGGAATCCAGCCAACCAACCGAGGGAGGAAAAATGGCACCAAAATTCAAAGGCCCCTACATCATAACAGCCATCATCAAACCTGGGACTTACAAGCTCAAACGCCCCAACGGGAAAGAGGTCCCTAGGCACTGGAATGTACACCATTTAGTTAAATTTTACCAATAATGTAAGAGCGGCCAGGCCCTCATAACTAATGAATGTACTATCCTATGGCCCAAGGCCTCCACTTTTGAGGAATGAAGACACATTCAAGACACCAAGCCCTCATACTGACTACAGGCCCCAGGCCTCACCACGAGAAGAACCCCCTCCGGCACCAAGTGCCGAGGGCGGACACCATCAACACCTACAACAACAGGAAAACACCATGTGTTTTCGAACAAGACCCCTCGGTACCAAGTACCGAAGGTGGGAACTCCCATCACCGACGACAAGAAACACCAAGTGTTTCATTTCCCTTCGGCACCCAGTGCCGAGGGTACACCTCCATCATCAACATCAAAACGAAGGAAAACACCAAATGTTTCAAAGAAGACCCCTCGGCACCCAGTGCCAGGGATATGCTCTCCTATCAACTTCCAAACATCTGTTGGGAAACACCAAGTGTTTCCTCCGAGGGCCCTCCGGCACCAAACGCCGAGAGCGAACACTCCAATCAAAACACCAAGTGTTTCATTTGAAGACCCTTCGGTACCAAGTACCGAGGGTAGACACCTCCATCAACTACAACAAAAGAGAACACCAAGTGTTCCTACAGAAGACCCTTCGGTACCAAGTACCGGGGGCTACACATCGAAACTAACACCAAGTGTTGTTTCTAAAAGCCGTACCCCACGAGGACGCATATACCGAAGGCGCCACCATCGGTGCCGGTGGCACGTAGTGCCCCCGGCCATTTGCAACTAGTGTGCAAATGAAAACCCTTCCTTGAAACGCTTTCCGCGTCACTACCCCAGGGTATGACAGGCATGAGAAATGCCCATGATTCGACTTTCAAAAACGGAACGCTATCCGCGTCATCACCCCAAGGGTATGACAGGCACGAGAAATGCCCAGGATTCGACTTTCAAACCGAAACGCTCCCCGCGCCACCACCCCAAGGGTGTGGCAGGGCACGGACTATGTCTAGCGCCGAGGGGACGACTTTCAAAAATGAGGCGCTTTCCGCGCCATCCCCCAAGGGGAGGCAGGTCACAGACCATCATATCTTGTACCCAGGAAACGACCCTCGATCCCCTCGGAACTCGGAAGGTTAACCCGAGGGAGGAGAGCCATTGGTGTATTCTGATGGTCTCCTAATAGGCCCAGCCTTACCAAGAAACCAAGTTTCTTGATGCCTTCCCTTCACCACCAACCAAAAAAAAAAGAGGGGGTGAAGGGGAGTAGACTCAGCGAGAAATCAAAGAGTACACTCCGACAGGTCACAACATGCCGAGGGCTCCCACAGGAACACCTCCGGTAATTGAAGGCTCCTATTTCCCGAAGGATACTACTCAAACAAATATCATCAAGAAACGGCTAAGTCCACTGCTTGGTCACCTCCGGTCACACAAGCCCTGAAGACTTCAACAATACGAAGGGACTGGACTATCCAAAGTCCACTAAACAGTACCTCCAACAAAATACCGAGGGCATCTTTTATGCACTAATACCGAGGGCCCTTACCCCATGACAAGGGACACAACTGGCTAAGTCAAACTCTACAACTTTCCAAGCAATTGCCGAGGGCACATACTCCTCATCGGCTTTCTTTACAACAACAGGAGTCCACACTTTTCCTAAGTCCACACTTTTGGAAAATGACAACAACCAAAGGCATCTATTACAAATCATCAAAGGCCAGAGCGAGGGGGCTTATTCCAAAACAGTTGCCCCTCGGACGGACTCCTCACTTGCCGAAGGTTCAACATCCACGACACACTTTGAGATTTTTCTAAGTCCCACATATTTGGCCCTCGGCCAAAGACTCATACAACACAAGGGCCTCACGATCACCCGAAGGGTCCTATTCATATACCCGGAGGGATCTACATCCGGAAGCTCAACATCAATTTACGCTTAGAAAATATTCTAAGTCCTAAATGAGTAGCCCCCGGGCATCTCGCAAAAGTGATGCAGAGTCAGAGGGCACCTATCACCCGAAGGTGACACAAGGAAGCCGCACTTAAAAAAAATCCTAAGTCCTAAAGATGGGCCCCGGCCCAATCAATATTACAGCTAAGGGAATATGACAGCCGAAGGCTATGCATCGAGAAGGGATGCCATCTCCCGAAGGCTCCCAAAGGGAAAATCTACACTTAGAAATCTTTCTAAGTCCTACATATTTCCCCCCGGTCAACTACTCATGCATCAAGAAGGGATGCCATCTCCCGAAGGCTCCCAAAGGGAAAAATCTACACTTAGAAAATTTTCTAAGTCCTACATATTTTTCCCCCGGTCAACTACTCATACACCAAGAAGGGATGCCATCTCCCGAAGGCTCCCAAAGGGAAAATCTACACTTACAAATCTTTCTAAGTCCTACATATTTCACCCTCATCTCAAGGGACCTAATAGCCGAAGGCTACCTATCAATCGAAGGCTACAGTACACAAGGAATCAACACTGAGAAGAATTTTCTAAGTCCTAAAGATTGCCCCCCCCGGCCTAATCAACATTCCAGTGGGGGCTCCACGGTAGCCGAAGGCTACATGACACACTACATTTGCAGAAATTTTCTAAGTCCCAATGACATGGCCTTCGGCCATCACTAAACCACCATACATTCATACGTGAGGAAAGCATAAAGGAGGAGGCATACATTCAAACAGAGGGCGCATTCAAATATGAAAAGCCCGAAGGCAGACATTCATCAATCGACAAAAAAAAGAGTAAATGTGATAGTTACAAAGGTGGCCGGGGCCGAAAGCATAAGAATGTGATCATTACAAGTGTGTTCAAATTACTGAGTATAAATTACAAATTAAACAACGTCATTTCCGGGGGTCGCCTCCTCCGATGGCTTCGAAGTAACCTCTGCATCGGCCTCAGGTTCGTCACCCTCGGCTTCCTTCATGAGCTCTGTATCCTCTAGGTCTGGCCTCTCGACATCGGAGGGGAGAGGAACGCGGACGTCTGGCTGCAGGGGGAGCCCGTATGCCGCCGGGTCGAAGTCCTTTGGCTCAATCTTCAAGTGGCGAGCCATCCTCCGGTAGATGAGGGCTTGGGTGAAAAACTCGCCCCCCATCATAATATTGTTAACCCTTTCGGGAAACCCACTCCACCCCGGGCCCATCGCACCACTCGTCAACCGAGGACTCGACGACCGAGGACAGCCATTGCTTGTGCTCCTCGGCCCGCCACCCCCTGCCAAGAACCCCGAGATTGCGTCCCCTCGGGCTCTCTCGACGGCTTCCATCTTCGCGGCCTCGGCCTCCCTGGCAGCTCTCTCCAAAGCCTCAGCTGCGGACCTCTCAGCCTCCGCCCTGCCCCGATCTGCGGCCTCCGCCCGCAGGGTCATCTGCCGAAGGCTCTCCTCCAGCATAGCCATCTGCCGGACAGCATCGGCATTCTGGCGGATGAGCTCCCGCATCTTAGCATCCTGCTCAGCCTTGCGAAGGCGCCACTCCTCTAGCCGCCGGGCTTGCTCTCCGAGGGCAATGCAGGTCTACAAAAAAAAGGAGAGATAAGTTAGGAAGGCCGTACATTATTTCCTAACTCAAACAAAACGGTAAACTATCAAAGAAAAACTCACCGTAAGGGAAGACCGGAGGATCCTGTCCTCGAGGGCTTGGTCGTCATCATCCCCGAGGGCTGCCCTGTCAATATCGAGGGTTATACCTCTCAGAAGCGCCCTCGGATCCGCCGTGCCATTCATCACAGCCGTACCAACCGGGACGGAGATCGTCAGAACCTCGGAGGATGGCTCCCGGACACCCCCCGGGACTTTCGCCACCGGCATCTCCTCGTGCGCCCCGGAGGCGGGGCAATCATCAACAATGACCACCGGGGGGCTTTTCTTCCCGGCGTCCCCGGTCTTGGGCTTTTTGCTCTCAGGAGCCTTGCCCGTGCCTTTCCTCTTGGCAGCGGCAGCTGCATCAGTGTTTGGGGCCGCCGATGGCCCCTCCGGCTTCTTGAAGAAGTCACCGGCGGGTTTTGGGGCACCCGCATCCGTCCCCCTCGGGGCCTTGGAAGGTTTTTTCTTCTTCAGATCTGCGAGCCCCTTGACATTCATCATTTTCACTGGGATACCTGCAAAAATAATATGGGGTTAAAATCGAGGGGTTACTAACCGAAGGCACAAGGAATAAAAGAACGAACAAATAAACTGTGTGCTAAGATATGAAAACCAAGGGCCCTCGTAGACTACCTCCTGCCCCCCGAAGGCCTCAGCAAAAACGGGATACTTCTCGTCCGCTTCCCCAATGAAGCGGTATCTCCGAAAGCCGAGGGCGTAGAGTTCCTTGTCGGCAGTGTGATCTTTAATAGACATTTGCTTCGTGCGACCCTCCAAGATTTTGGCTATTATCAGGCCATCTTTCTCGAGAGCGGCGCTTCCAACCTTCGGATGCCGACGGAAGCGATCCCGAAGTTCCGCCGGAAATGGGTTCTCGGCAACTCTGACGTAGCACCAACGCTCCTTCCAGCCCTTATTGGACGAAGGCGCCTCCGTAAATAGCTTCCACCTGGCTATCTGCTGCAGGTTGGCGAAGCCCTCGGCATTCGCGTGACCCCCTCGGCAGAGGTTGAAGCTCTGGAAGAACAAGTCCAGGCTGGGGGTCACCCCTCGGACCCTGCAGAGGCTAAAAAAACCCGCCACGTAGGAGTGGCTATTAGGTGTCAGCTGGTAGGGGACCAAGCCAACGAACCTAAGGTACTCCCGGAGGAAGGGGTGCAGAGGGAACCGAACGCCCATGCAGACCGACAGTACGTGTACTGCAATACACCCCTCGGGCGCCCGAGACAGCACATCGTCAACTCCCGGCTCGACCACCACGGCCGAGGGCCCTACGTGTAGCTGCCCACTGCGACCAGACAATGGGCAACTGCGACCAGACAATGGGCAACTGTCAGTGGGGTATTCCTGCCCACTGCGACCAGACAATGGGCAACCCCATTTGCTTCTCGCCAAACGTGATGGAAACTGACCTGTTTCCTAATCGATTCCAGCATCATTTCCTGAAGGATAACCCTCCATCTCCCCATGCGTCCCTCCTCCAACAACCTTACCACTTCCGCCGAATCCGTTTCTACTTGGAAGGCAGAGTAACCGGCATCCATCGCCCACTTCGTAGCGTAGCACAGAGCTTTCATCTCGGCATCAACCACCGAACCAGCCTGCACAGGGAAGGAAATGGCGAAGACCAATTCGCAGTCCTGATTCCGCATAATCGTTCCTCCGAAAGCACCTTGAGGTAAGAACGCGGCATCTGTGTTCAATTTTATATTATGTGGTTTGTTCCATTTGATGACCCTTAGTGGTAGACCACCGAGTCGAAACCTGGTCGGAATAAGGTCCTCCTCGTAAAGAACATTACCAACCTCACAGAATTTTAGTCTGCCCAAGCTAGAAATCCAATCTCTAGTGAAAATTTTTATTTGGGCTATAAGGAGCTCAGGGGTAGGCGGTTTTGTGACCGAGCCCCAAACGAGGCCTGCGTAGGATTTCCAAATATGCCAACAAATTATACCTGGTAAATTGTGTTTGAATAAGTCTAAAAGCTTCTTGCTACCTGCTCTTAGCCACCAGCATATGAACACTTGCCTTATAGTCATATCAGAAGCAAAGTTTGGAATCCCAAAAATTTGAAAAAAGTAAGCCCAAACTGAGTGAGCAACAGGGCACTGGTAGAGCAAATGATTCATAGAGTCTCCATGAGCTCTGCACATGGGGCATATAGAGGGGTTAAGAGCCATATGGAACCTTGTAAGGTTATGTGTAGTAGGTAGAATTTGATTTAGGACTTTCCATTGGAAAAGCTTGATTTTTAACACTTGCTTAGGATGCCAACAGTGTTTGAGGGAGAAGGTAGATCCTTTTTCTTTTCTAACCAGTTGAAAGGCAGATTGAAAAGAAAAAATCCCATCCTCTTCAGCAGACCAGACCCAATCTTCATTGTGATCAACTTCACAGTAATTAAGTACCTCTAGGTGTATAGAACATATTCTTCTCCAAACGGAGGAATCATAAACTTTGGGTAACATGTTCTCACCTCTAGGATATTTAGCCTTGAGGAAGACAGACCAGAGAGAGTCCCCACACTTCCATTTCCACCAGAGCTTCAGGGAAAAGGCTTTCTCCACCTCAGTCAAAGACCTAATGCCCAGCCCACCCTCATCAGTGAGGAGGCATAGGTCTGACCATTTGATCCAGTGATGTTTAGGTTTGTTATTGGAAGCCCCCCAGAAAAATTTGACATTTTACTCTCCAATATTCTAACAGTTTTCTTTGGCAGTGTATCAGCAGCAAGCAAATGCATAGGGATAGCACTGAGGACATGCTTGATCAGAACAAGTTGACCCCCCTGAGATAAGTTCTTCTGCTTCCATGGGGTTAGTTTTGCCTCAAATTTATGAATGATGTCCAGGCAGTAGGCATGCCTGTTGATACCTTTGTGAAGGTTAACTCCCAAATATTTAATAGGCAACTCAACTTTTTGCATTCCCAGTATGTCTTTAATAATATTGCCTCTTGCCCCCACATGTTTACCATAGATGAAAGAGCTTTTTGCAAAGTTCACAGACTGCCCGGATGCTCTTTGATAGCACATGGTAAGCGTTGTCCATCGTCCAATAAGGAAATGCATAGGGATAGCACTGAGGACATGCTTGATCAGAACTAGTCGACCCCCCTGAGATAAGTTTTTCTGCTTCCATGGGGTTAGTTTTGCCTCAAATTTATGAATGATGTCCAGCCAGTAGGCATGCCTGTTGATACTTTTGTGAAGGTTAACTCCCAAATATTTAATAGGCAACTCAACTTTTTGCATTCCCAGTATGTCTTTAATAATATTGCCTCTTGCCCCCACATGTTTACCATAGATGAAAGAGCTTTTTGCAAAGTTCACAGACTGCCCAGATGCTCTTTGATGCCCAGTACCTCTTAGATGTTCTTTAGTGGTAAGCTTTTCCAGAAGGATCAAGCATGTCCTCAGTTCACAGACAATGGGCAACTGCGACCAGTGCCCAGCAAATGACGTAGAGATCCGCCCTGTCCGCCTTCGATTTTATCTCCAAGGCAGCAGTATTGAGCCAGGAATACCCCTCCGGCATGTCTATGGGTTTCCCCTGATCGGCGGCAACGATCTTCTTCTTGGGGGCAGCTACCTTGGCCTTCTTCTTCCCGAGGGCCACCCGGATGGGAACTGCGTTCAGCGGCTGAGAGGTACTGGCCTCACCAGCACCCCGAGGGGGAAGGACGGCCACAGTAACCTTCGTCCTCTCCTTTTCCTCTTCCTCCTCAGCAACTTGGACGGCGACGGCCAACTCCTCATCTTCGGCGGTTCGCTCGAACTCCTCCGTCTCAGCCTCGGCCACCAGATCCTTCTGCACCTCGGTGGTGAGAGCTGCATCACCACCATCCGAGGGCTGACTGCTACTGGACTCCACGTCGGAGATGCTTTCATCCTCGACCGAGGGGTCCCTCGAGATGTCCTAGGAATCGCTCGTGGACGACATTTTTGACAAAGTACGCACCTGAGGTTTCGAAGGCTTTCTACAGGACTCTAACCCTAATCTAAGGCCAGAGGGCGGAACTTACTAAAAGTTTTGAGAGGAAAGCAGGACACTGACCTTGAAAGCTGAGTTTTGACCGGGGGCTTGAGCTTTCTCTCTCTAGAAAATTTGGCAGAGCTTCGCTAACGATATCGGACGCACAAGGAGAATGGTCTGGCCATGGGGTATTTATAGACTCCAGAATCCGGGCTTGGGCCCAAAAACTGGGCCTCCGGCCAAGCGTCATCATTACGCACCGCGTTTTCACCCAACCGATGACGCCGCCCACGGGCAGCCAACCGCCACGCGCCACGTGTACCCCCCCCCAACGGCTATAACCTGACGTTACATATTCCAACGGCTATATTTCCAATGGCTACATTCTTTGAGCCCCCGGATTTTCCCACATCACTCCACTTCATCAAGGAGAGCCTCCGGGTACACTTACCCAGAGACGCCCCCGGTTTGTGCCCCACACAGTACATAACGGACGCCTTCGGCATCACTTCTTCAGAAGCCCAAGGCTTCATATAGGGCCACCCCTCGGGGATTCCCCCTCAGCACTGTAAGGACCGAATCACCCCCGGGAAGTATGCCTCATTGACGGACAGCATATAGCATGCAGGTAATGGGAGCCCCCGGATATCCCCATCACCAACTAATCAACGAGCAGGGGACCCCCCGGTGACAATTCAACTACTGCCCTCATCCATCGCACCCTCGATCTCCAGATTGAGGGGCTCCCCTTTGGCGCCCCCGGGACATCAACAGCGAGCCTTCGGCTAATCAGCACATGAGCCCTCAGAAAAAGGAGAGCCTTCGGCGTTACCGTTATTCTCCATTTTTGACCAAGGTTTCACATTTTCGATTCATCGTTGGGGGAATTCGGTGCACTCTTTTTCCCTCATTAGGATTTTTTCCCCAGGGTTTTTCCTAATGAGGTTTTTAACGAGGCATCCCCCTAAAATGAAACGAAAAGCGTCAGCCTTCGGCCCACAACAGCAACGCAACTACTCTACTCCTTTTCACCACTTTACAAGTGCCTCAAGGAGTGGGGGACTGGAGGACCCCCTCGGGAAAATCACTAAAAATACAAAATGGTGAAAATTTCCAACAAACGGCAAAGCAAGCCCTCAAGTCCCGACATGTGGGTAACTGAGGGACTGCCTTCGGCAGGGACATAAATGCAACAACTCCTCACCAACTTCAGAGATTACGACAGGACAACATCAAAGGGCAAGCACAAATTACTCATTTTCCTTCAAGTACCTTTCGGCAAAAGGAGTGAGGGACTCTTGATGGAGTATATGGCCCGGGAACACCCAGCCCACAGACTCCTACTACACCAATGAAGGCCCAACCGGCCCAGGAAGCTCAAGCAGGCCCAAATCACGGCGCCCAGAGTACCAAGCAGCCCGCAATGCACCCCCCGGCCGAAGGCTCCAAACTATCACAGCGTGGATATTTCGAACAAACAGAGGAACTGAGAGAAAACGGCGAAAACAGTAGCCCTCGGCACTCAGGGGACCTCGGCACTAAGAGCCCTCGGCTAGTCCTCTGCAGCCGAGGGCACCTCTCCCGACATGATATCCGCCTCACATGCGTACAGATCACCGTATCCTGTACAGACGTCCCATCCAACAGCCGCATTAAATGCGGCCACATGCGGCTGCCAACGCCAACCAGTTGAGGTGACCTCTCGGCCAATGGGCGCTTGACACGTGTCCCTGTCCGGCATTTATTGCTACTATAAATAGCACCCCATTTCCCCATTTGTAACCACGCCTTAAACGCTTTAACGACATTCATACTGAATACACTCTCTCTCTTACTTACTTATGCTCTGACTTCTCTCTAAGTTATTCTCAGCAATAACCCCTCGGATATATACCCCCCGGGTAGACTATCCATCATGTATATACTCTTATGTTAAATAAAATGAATAATTTTTTATCAAGCTAATTTTTATTTATATATATTGAAGATATGGATCATTCAAATGATAAAGAGCTATGTCTGATAGACAGCGCCACAACGCACACCATTTTGAGAAATAAAATATATTTTTCTCAAATGACTTTAGTTGAAGCTAAAGTCAATACAATATCAGGTGTTGCGAAGCTCATTGAAGGCTCTGGAAAAGCATATGTGATGCTCCCTAACGGGACAAAAATAATTATAAATGACGCTTTGTACTCCAGCAAATCGCGGAGAAATCTATTAAGTTTTAAAGATATGCGTCAAAATGGTTATCACATAGAAACCATGAATGAAAATCAAAGGGAATATCTTTGTCTCACGACAACTAAATCAGGCACTAAATTTATTTGTGAAAAAATGCCAGCATATTCCTCAGGACTATATTTCACATATATTAGTCCATTCGAAATAAATTTGGTTTCTAACATAAAGTTAGATGATCAGAAAACATTCATGTTGTGGCATGACCGTTTAGGTCACCCAGGCCAAGTAATGATGCATAAAATCATTAAGACTTCACTTGGACACCCATTAAATAATATCAGGGTTCCATTATCAAGTGATTTTCCTTGTAAGGCCTGCTCTCTTGGCAAAATGATCATCGGGCCTTCTATAAATAAAATTGCAACTGAATCACCTGCATTTTTAGAAAGGATTCAAGGAGATATTTGTGGGCCGATAGCCCCACCATGTGGACCATTTCGATATTTTATGATGTTGATTGATGCTTCAACACGTTGGTCACATGTCAATCTGTTATTGACTAGAAATTTAGCATTTACTAAACTCCTTGCTCAAATCATACGATTAAGAGCTCATTTTCCGGATCATTCTACAAAGAGAATCCGACTTGACAATGCAGGAGAATTTACATCCCAATCATTTAACGACTATTGTATGTCGATTGGGATTGACGTGGAGCACCCTGTTGCTCATGTCCATACACAAAATGGTCTTGCCGAATCTTTGATTAAACGATTACAGTTAATCGCTAGACCATTATTAATGAAGTGTAATTTACCTTCATCAGCTTGGGGACATGCTATTTTACATGCAACAACTTTAATTCGGCTTAGACCGACTGCATATCATGAATATTCCCCAATGCAATTAGTTACTGGACATGAGCCAAACTTAGCACACATTAAGATATTTGGTTGTGCTCAAGATATGGAGTAAACAATCTCAACACTCCAACTGCTCGAGCTTGTATGCGGCAGTTCACTCTACCTCCCTTTTTGTTTGTATAACTCTCTCTTCTTCTCCAGAAGTGAAGCTATAATGAAAGTATACTTCAAGAGATATCCAGGGACCTCTGAACCACTCAAATTGGATGAGTATAGCTCCAATTATGAAGGGAGGCAATCAACACACTCAATTTGTGCGGAAATAGACATGGTGGGTCTCCCTTTTGCTTCTCTTTGCCGTGTGCAGCCCCCAAGTTCACTATGTCCGCCCCCTCCCCTATTCTAACATTATTTTCCTTGTCTTGCAGGTGTTAGGAAGGTGTGGTATGGTTCCCAAGTGATCCCTATTAATTTGAGATCAAAATATCTACCAATACTTCCAAAAATTGAAGAATGAGTCCTATTGTTTTCTTTTGTCATGTGATGTCTTTCTGTACTCATTCTAATTTATTTAAATAAGGTCAACTTTCTACATCATATTATTGATCTCTAATATGTGTAGGATGGTCTCAATATTTCATATGATGTATAATTATAGGAGAAAATCTTACTCCCATAATTCATCCCAAAAATGGCCAAAAGTGAACCATAAAAGTTTGTAATCTAATCTAGTCATCCTTTCACCTATCGGTGACCTTTGCATTTATATTTATGGGCTACAAGGCGTGTGGTATACCCTCGAGTGGGCCTAGGACGCCTTTTCCAAATACTTACTATTTTTGGCATGTTGGGCCCAAAACAACAATTTGGACTACCCAACCTTTCTTATTTGCTCTAGAAAGGTTATAAATGTTTCTTTATATTGTATTGGGCTATTATGTCTAATAAGATGACCCCATTAAGTATTTATAAGCCCATCTTCATGATACGGGCCTAAGCCCATCTTCATGATACAAGCCCAAATGATAGTACGATTTATCATACATTATATCAAACATTAATCTTTTTACAAATGGCAAATTACCTTCATGCATCTCATCTTGTCCACAAAATTAACTCGTTCAGCGGAAAAGCGTCAATTTACCATGATGGTGCACCCACCAGTCCATCTATTATTTTGATGAATGAAAAAATGATTATCAATCCACCCGAGCACAAAAAATGGCAGCGTTGAGGCACGTGCCGAACCGTCAATGCTACTTTAGAGTAGCTAAATGACTTGATGACAAACTCGAAAAACAATGGTGTCACACGGTCAATGACTCACACCCGATGACTCCGCAAATTATACCGTGGGATCGGCCCACCATGCGCATGGTGTGTCGATCCCAAAACGGTGTCGTTCTTCGTTAAAAAAATTACAAAACCTTCCTTGCGCTTCGTTCCCACCGGCTCCGTAATTGCGCATCTGCCTAGAGCGATGAAATAACAGGTCCCTTTACTCCGCCTCTGCGCTTCCTTCACTGCTTAACCCCGCTAGTTTTGCATCTGGAATTGCTTCGCTGTTGTGCATATTCTCTGCTTCGAATCAATAGGTTTCCTTTCTCTGGTCAATTTCTACTCGCCGCTTCAAGGGGAGAAATACTCCATGCGCAGAAAAACCAGCATAAGAGCAAACCCTATGAATCTCCGATCCCAATCATCTAGTCCATGCTCAGATTCAATACAAATACAATAAGTCATACCCACGATTAATTGAAAATCTAAGGAAAATGCTTACTGGTCTCTTCCACTTGGTTATTTTGATTATATTTGGGGCTCAAGTTACTTGTGTGCTTATTTTTTGATTTCGACTCAAGTTACATTTCATATACATCGGAGTTACATTTAAGTTTGGCTAAAACTACATATTGTAACACAAGAGTTACATGTCAACTTTTCTCAACAAGTTACACTAGGAGTGGACTCGGGTCGGGCCAACCGGCCCGGAACCGGACCAGCCCGCTACTGTGCGGGCCCGGACCGGCCCGGTGAACCGGTTGGTTGCCCGGTTTTGGCCACCCGACCCGGTGGGATGGCGGTTCGAGCTCAGGCCCTTCAAAAGGTGAACCGGCCCGGTCGGTTCGGGCCCGGGCCGGGCCAATTTATTATTATTATTATTATTTGAATTTTTTTAACTTTTTGGGTTGGGCTGGGTATTTTGGGCCATTTGAGGTGGTTAGGGTTGGTTTGGGGGTGAGGGGGGAGGGTTAGGGGTTAACTAGGAAAAGCCAAAAAAATATTAGAACCGAGGCCCGGCCTGGCCCGGACCGGACCCGGGGGTTACCCGGGCCTCCCCCTTCATGAATCGAGGCTTTCTACAACACATAACATACATAATTTATACTAAATATGTATATTATGCTCCTTTCTACAACACATAACATACATAATTTATACTAAATATGTATATTATGCTCCTTATAGTTATAGTCAATAGTCTTCTTATTTTAGGCATTATCAATCATTAATAATCCATAAAAATGCATTTGAATACCTTAGGTAATCTTATGAAATTAACTTACTAATTATAAGAAATATAGTCAGCCATTCTCACCCCAAATAAGCTTCACTTTCCTTGCTTATAAATGGGTGCTAGGAAGCCCCCTCAAGGTGCTAGTTCGACGTCTAACCAACGGTATGAAAACAGTCCCTAGAAAGGGTGTTTTCCGGCGAGTTCGCTCCCTAACCTTTCATGGTTTATTCTAGATTAGTGTTCAACCTTTAAATCCATAAAATAACCTTGTCAAAAACATATTCTACACTTGTAATAGTGTAGAATAGTTCCCTTAATCGTTCATATGATTTAGATAATGAAAAGAAAGGTTTTGGATTCAACTCACTCTAGAGAAGAAAATGTGTTCTGCGAGGTAGTGTCTGCCTCCGATGATTTGAAGACCTTAAACTACTCTGTTTGCTGAAAACCGAACATTTCCAGAATCCTAGTCTTGAGATATTTCTTTATACACGTCACACGCCTAATTTGGATAAGTGGTGCTCAAGATATGGAGTAAACAATCTCAACACTCCAACTGCTCGAGCTTGTATGCGGCAGTTCACTCTACCTCCCTTTTTGTTTGTATAACTCTCTCTTCTTCTCCAGAAGTGAAGCTATAATGAAAGTATACTTCAAGAGATATCCAGGGACCTCTGAACCACTCAAATTGGATGAGTATAGCTCCAATTATGAAGGGAGGCAATCAACACACTCAATTTGTGCGGAAATAGACATGGTGGGTCTCCCTTTTGCTTCTCTTTGCCGTGTGCAGCCCCCAAGTTCACTATGTCCGCCCCCTCCCCTATTCTAACATTATTTTCCTTGTCTTGCAGGTGTTAGGAAGGTGTGGTATGGTTCCCAAGTGATCCCTATTAATTTGAGATCAAAATATCTACCAATACTTCCAAAAATTGAAGAATGAGTCCTATTGTTTTCTTTTGTCATGTGATGTCTTTCTGTACTCATTCTAATTTATTTAAATAAGGTCAACTTTCTACATCATATTATTGATCTCTAATATGTGTAGGATGGTCTCAATATTTCATATGATGTATAATTATAGGAGAAAATCTTACTCCCATAATTCATCCCAAAAATGGCCAAAAGTGAACCATAAAAGTTTGTAATCTAATCTAGTCATCCTTTCACCTATCGGTGACCTTTGCATTTATATTTATGGGCTACAAGGCGTGTGGTATACCCTCGAGTGGGCCTAGGACGCCTTTTCCAAATACTTACTATTTTTGGCATGTTGGGCCCAAAACAACAATTTGGACTACCCAACCTTTCTTATTTGCTCTAGAAAGGTTATAAATGTTTCTTTATATTGTATTGGGCTATTATGTCTAATAAGATGACCCCATTAAGTATTTATAAGCCCATCTTCATGATACGGGCCTAAGCCCATCTTCATGATACAAGCCCAAATGATAGTACGATTTATCATACATTATATCAAACATTAATCTTTTTACAAATGGCAAATTACCTTCATGCATCTCATCTTGTCCACAAAATTAACTCGTTCAGCGGAAAAGCGTCAATTTACCATGATGGTGCACCCACCAGTCCATCTATTATTTTGATGAATGAAAAAATGATTATCAATCCACCCGAGCACAAAAAATGGCAGCGTTGAGGCACGTGCCGAACCGTCAATGCTACTTTAGAGTAGCTAAATGACTTGATGACAAACTCGAAAAACAATGGTGTCACACGGTCAATGACTCACACCCGATGACTCCGCAAATTATACCGTGGGATCGGCCCACCATGCGCATGGTGTGTCGATCCCAAAACGGTGTCGTTCTTCGTTAAAAAAATTACAAAACCTTCCTTGCGCTTCGTTCCCACCGGCTCCGTAATTGCGCATCTGCCTAGAGCGATGAAATAACAGGTCCCTTTACTCCGCCTCTGCGCTTCCTTCACTGCTTAACCCCGCTAGTTTTGCATCTGGAATTGCTTCGCTGCTGTGCATATTCTCTGCTTCGAATCAATAGGTTTCCTTTCTCTGGTCAATTTCTACTCGCCGCTTCAAGGGGAGAAATACTCCATGCGCAGAAAAACCAGCATAAGAGCAAACCCTATGAATCTCCGATCCCAATCATCTAGTCCATGCTCAGATTCAATACAAATACAATAAGTCATACCCACGATTAATTGAAAATCTGAGGAAAATGCTTACTGGTCTCTTCCACTTGGTTATTTTGATTATATTTGGGGCTCAAGTTACTTGTGTGCTTATTTTTTGATTTCGACTCAAGTTACATTTCATATACATCGGAGTTACATTTAAGTTTGGCTAAAACTACATATTGTAACACAAGAGTTACATGTCAACTTTTCTCAACAAGTTACACTAGGAGTGGACTCGGGTCGGGCCAACCGGCCCGGAACCGGACCAGCCCGCTACTGTGCGGGCCCGGACCGGCCCGGTGAACCGGTTGGTTGCCCGGTTTTGGCCACCCGACCCGGTGGGATGACGGTTCGAGCTCAGGCCCTTCAAAAGGTGAACCGGCCCGGTCGGTTCGGGCCCGGGCCGGGCCAATTTATTATTATTATTATTTTTTGAATTTTTTTAACTTTTTGGGTTGGGCTGGGTATTTTGGGCCATTTGAGGTGGTTAGGGTTGGTTTGGGGGTGAGGGGGGAGGGTTAGGGGTTAACTAGGAAAAGCCAAAAAAATATTAGAACCGAGGCCCGGCCCGGACCGGACCCGGGGGTTACCCGGGCCTCCCCCTTCATGAATCGAGGCTTTCTACAACACATAACATACATAATTTATACTAAATATGTATATTATGCTCCTTTCTACAACACATAACATACATAATTTATACTAAATATGTATATTATGCTCCTTATAGTTATAGTCAATAGTCTTCTTATTTTAGGCATTATCAATCATTAATAATCCATAAAAATGCATTTGAATACCTTAGGTAATCTTATGAAATTAACTTACTAATTATAAGAAATATAGTCAGCCATTCTCACCCCAAATAAGCTTCACTTTCCTTGCTTATAAATGGGTGCTAGGAAGCCCCCTCAAGGTGCTAGTTCGACGTCTAACCAACGGTATGAAAACAGTCCCTAGAAAGGGTGTTTTCCGGCGAGTTCGCTCCCTAACCTTTCAAGGTTTATTCTAGATTAGTGTTCAACCTTTAAATCCATAAAATAACCTTGTCAAAAACATATTCTACACTTGTAATAGTGTAGAATAGTTCCCTTAATCGTTCATATGATTTAGATAATGAAAAGAAAGGTTTTGGATTCAACTCACTCTAGAGAAGAAAATGTGTTCTGCGAGGTAGTGTCTGCCTCCGATGATTTGAAGACCTTAAACTACTCTGTTTGCTGAAAACCGAACATTTCCAGAATCCTAGTCTTGAGATATTTCTTTATACACGTCACACGCCTAATTTGGATAAGTGGTGCTCAAGATATGGAGTAAACAATCTCAACACTCCAACTGCTCGAGCTTGTATGCGGCAGTTCACTCTACCTCCCTTTTTGTTTGTATAACTCTCTCTTCTTCTCCAGAAGTGAAGCTATAATGAAAGTATACTTCAAGAGATATCCAGGGACCTCGGAACCACTCAAATTGGATGAGTATAGCTCCAATTATGAAGGGAGGCACTCAATTTGTGCGGAAATAGACATGGTGGGTCTCCCTTTTGCTTCTCTTTGCCGTGTGCAGCCCCCAAGTTCACTATGTCCGCCCCCTCCCGTATTCTAACATTATTTTCCTTGTCATGCAGGTGTTAGGAAGGTGTGGTATGGTTCCCAAGTGATCCCTATTAATTTGAGATCAAAATATCTACCAATACTTCCAAAAATTGAAGAATGAGTCCTATTGTTTTCTTTTGTCATGTGATGTCTTTCTGTACTCATTCTAATTTATTTAAATAAGGTCAACTTTCTACATCATATTATTGATCTCTAATATGTGTAGGATGGTCCCAATATTTCATATGATGTATAATTATAGGAGAAAATCTTACTCCCATAATTCATCCCAAAAATGGCCAAAAGTGAACCATAAAAGTTTGTAATCTAATCTAGTCATCCTTTCACCTATCGGTGACCTTTGCATTTATATTTATGGGCTACAAGGCGTGTGGTATACCCTCGAGTGGGCCTAGGATGCCTTTTCCAAATACTTACTATTTTTGGCATGTTGGGCCCAAAACAACAATTTGGACTACCCAACCTTTCTTATTTGCTCTAGAAAGGTTATAAATGTTTCTTTATATTGTATTGGGCTATTATGTCTAATAAGATGACCCCATTAAGTATTTATAAGCCCATCTTCATGATACGGGCCTAAGCCCATCTTCATGATACAAGCCCAAATGATAGTACGATTTATCATACATTATATCAAACATTAATCTTTTTACAAATGGCAAATTACCTTCATGCATCTCATCTTGTCCACAAAATTAACTCGTTCAGCGGAAAAGCGTCAATTTACCATGATGGTGCACCCACCAGTCCATCTATTATTTTGATGAATGAAAAAATGATTATCAATCCACCCGAGCACAAAAAATGGCAGCGTTGAGGCACGTGCCGAACCGTCAATGCTACTTTAGAGTAGCTAAATGACTTGATGACAAACTCGAAAAACAATGGTGTCACACGGTCAATGACTCACACCCGATGACTCCGCAAATTATACCGTGGGATCGGCCCACCATGCGCATGGTGTGTCGATCCCAAAACGGTGTCGTTCTTCGTTAAAAAAATTACAAAACCTTCCTTGCGCTTCGTTCCCACCGGCTCCGTAATTGCGCATCTGCCTAGAGCGATGAAATAACAGGTCCCTTTACTCCGCCTCTGCGCTTCCTTCAATGCTTAACCCCGCTAGTTTTGCATCTGGAATTGCTTCGCTGCTGTGCATATTCTCTGCTTCGAATCAATAGGTTTCCTTTCTCTGGTCAATTTCTACTCGCCGCTTCAAGGGGAGAAATACTCCATGCGCAGAAAAACCAGCATAAGAGCAAACCCTATGAATCTCCGATCCCAATCATCTAGTCCATGCTCAGATTCAATACAAATACAATAAGTCATACCCACGATTAATTGAAAATCTGAGGAAAATGCTTACTGGTCTCTTCCACTTGGTTATTTTGATTATATTTGGGGCTCAAGTTACTTGTGTGCTTATTTTTTGATTTCGACTCAAGTTACATTTCATATACATCGGAGTTACATTTAAGTTTGGCTAAAACTACATATTGTAACACAAGAGTTACATGTCAACTTTTCTCAACAAGTTACACTAGGAGTGGACTCGGGTCGGGCCAACCGGCCCGGAACCGGACCAGCCCGCTACTGTGCGGGCCCGGACCGGCCCGGTGAACCGGTTGGTTGCCCGGTTTTGGCCACCCGACCCGGTGGGATGGCGGTTCGAGCTCAGGCCCTTCAAAAGGTGAACCGGCCCGGTCGGTTCGGGCCCGGGCCGGGCCAATTTATTATTATTATTATTTTTTGAATTTTTTTAACTTTTTGGGTTGGGCTGGGTATTTTGGGCCATTTGAGGTGGTTAGGGTTGGTTTGGGGGTGAGGGGTGAGGGTTAGGGGTTAACTAGGAAAAGCCAAAAAAATATTAGAACCGAGGCCCGGCCCGGACCGGACCCGGGGGTTACCCGGGCCCCCCCTTCATGAATCGAGGCTTTCTACAACACATAACATACATAATTTATACTAAATATGTATATTATGCTCCTTTCTACAACACATAACATACATAATTTATACTAAATATGTATATTATGCTCCTTATAGTTATAGTCAATAGTCTTCTTATTTTAGGCATTATCAATCATTAATAATCCATAAAAATGCATTTGAATACCTTAGGTAATCTTATGAAATTAACTTACTAATTATAAGAAATATAGTCAGCCATTCTCACCCCAAATAAGCTTCACTTTCCTTGCTTATAAATGGGTGCTAGGAAGCCCCCTCAAGGTGCTAGTTCGACGTCTAACCAACGGTATGAAAACAGTCCCTAGAAAGGGTGTTTTCCGGCGAGTTCGCTCCCTAACCTTTCAAGGTTTATTCTAGATTAGTGTTCAACCTTTAAATCCATAAAATAACCTTGTCAAAAACATATTCTACACTTGTAATGGTGTAGAATAGTTCCCTTAATCGTTCATATGATTTAGATAATGAAAAGAAAGGTTTTGGATTCAACTCACTCTAGAGAAGAAAATGTGTTCTGCGAGGTAGTGTCTGCCTCCGATGATTTGAAGACCTTAAACTACTCTGTTTGCTGAAAACCGAACATTTCCAGAATCCTAGTCTTGAGATATTTCTTTATACACGTCACACGCCTAATTTGGATAAGTGGTGCTCAAGATATGGAGTAAACAATCTCAACACTCCAACTGCTCGAGCTTGTATGCGGCAGTTCACTCTACCTCCCTTTTTGTTTGTATAACTCTCTCTTCTTCTCCAGAAGTGAAGCTATAATGAAAGTATACTTCAAGAGATATCCAGGGACCTCTGAACCACTCAAATTGGATGAGTATAGCTCCAATTATGAAGGGAGGCACTCAATTTGTGCGGAAATAGACATGGTGGGTCTCCCTTTTGCTTCTCTTTGCCGTGTGCAGCCCCCAAGTTCACTATGTCCGCCCCCTCCCGTATTCTAACATTATTTTCCTTGTCTTGCAGGTGTTAGGAAGGTGTGGTATGGTTCCCAAGTGATCCCTATTAATTTGAGATCAAAATATCTACCAATACTTCCAAAAATTGAAGAATGAGTCCTATTGTTTTCTTTTGTCATGTGATGTCTTTCTGTACTCATTCTAATTTATTTAAATAAGGTCAACTTTCTACATCATATTATTGATCTCTAATATGTGTAGGATGGTCCCAATATTTCATATGATGTATAATTATAGGAGAAAATCTTACTCCCATAATTCATCCCAAAAATGGCCAAAAGTGAACCATAGAAGTTTGTAATCTAATCTAGTCATCCTTTCACCTATTGGTGACCTTTGCATTTATATTTATGGGCTACAAGGCGTGTGGTATACCCTCGAGTTGGCCTAGGACACCTTTTCCAAATACTTACTATTTTTGGCATGTTGGGCCCAAAACAACAATTTGGACTACCCAACCTTTCTTATTTGCTGTAGAACGGTTATAAATGTTTCTTTATATTGTATTGGGCTATTATGTCTAATAAGATGACCCCATTAAGTATTTATAAGCCCATCTTCATGATACGGGCCTAAGCCCATCTTCATGATACAAGCCCAAATGATAGTACGATTTATCATACATTATATCAAACATTAATCTTTTTACAAATGGCAAATTACCTTCATGCATCTCATCTTGTCCACAAAATTAACTCGTTCAGTGGAAAAGCGTCAATTTACCATGATGGTGCACCCACCAGTCCATCTATTATTTTGATGAATGAAAAAATGATTATCAATCCACCCGAGCACAAAAAATGGCAGCGTTGAGGCACGTGCCGAACCGTCAATGCTACTTTAGAGTAGCTAAATGACTTGATGACAAACTCCAAAAACAATGGTGTCACACGGTCAATGACTCACACCCGATGACTCCACAAATTATACCGTGGGATCGGTCCACCATGCGCATGGTGTGTCGATCCCAAAACGGTGTCGTTCTTCGTTAAAAAAAGTACAAAACCTTCCTTGCGCTTCGTTCCCACCGGCTCCGTAATTGCGCATCTGCCTAGAGCGATGAAATAACAGGTCCCTTTACTCCGCCTCTGCGCTTCCTTCACTGCTCAACCCCGCTAGTTTTGCATCTGGAATTGCTTCGCTGATGTGCATATTCTCTGCTTCGAAACTATAGGTTTCCTTTCTCTAGTCAATTTCTGCTCGCCGCTTCAAGAGGAGAAATACTCCATGCGCAGAGAAACCAGCATAAGAGCAAACCCTATGAATCTCCGATCCCAATCATCTAGTCCATGCTCAGATTCAATACAAATACAATAAGTCATACCTACAATTAATTGAAAATCTGAGGAATGCTTACTGGTCTCTTCCACTTGGTTATTTTGATTATATTTGGGGCTCAAGTTACTTGTGTGCTTATTTTTTGATTTCGACTCAAGTTACATTTCATATACACCGGAGTTACATTTAAGTTTGGCTAAAATTAAATATTGTAATACAAGAATTACATGTCAACTTTTCTCAACAAGTTACACCCTACTTACACGTCAGTTACATTTTTTTCAACATCAGTTACATTCTTTTAAACATGAGTAATGAGTTACATCAGCCTTACCATTGAAATTAAAAAAGAGCTCTGGGAGCAGGATGCTCACCGTACACCGGTACCACGGTATACGAACTGCGATGACTCACAAAAAATGGCAGCAGTTGAGGCAGGCGCCGAACCGTCAATGACACACCCGATGGCTTGGGAAGAACAACACAACCACACAAAATAAAGATAGTGATTGTCGAGGAATGTATGTTAATTATTGGTGAAAATCATGAAAAAATCAAGAAACTTCTACCAATGTTGGTAAAAACAAAACTAGATAAATTAAGAATTTTTGCCAAAACACCTTTGGATGTATGATATTTATTACTAGCATTCCTGTAATTAGTGTCTACTATGCCAAAACACACGGCTTGGAATGTCCTCCAGCATTTGATAAAACTCAATTTCGGGTTAGACTATAACCAAAACTCTGATACATATTTAGGACAAAAACCTATATGAGACCTCTTTGCGTCTAGTTCAAAATTCTTCTTCATCACCTTCTAGCAACCCCACAGCCCTATGAGTCTATATTGTCCATCAATACTCGGGCAATCCTAAAAATGCCCATCTCGAGCTATCACAACTCATCGTGACCTTGAGGTTGATCCTCGTTCTTCATCATCATCTCTTCAAGTTCCTATTGTATCCATGATTTATGTGATTTGAGAAGACAGAAAGCAAACAAAAAAAAAAGAACAAGTAGGGGTGAATCTTTTGGTTGGGGATTGGGGGGTCAAGTTGCAATGAGGAAATCACCTGCAGCTTTTCTTCCAGACACAGGGCTGGTGTGGATAAAAATGCTAAATATCTGTCATTACATGCTCATATAGTTAGATAAAGCGATGTCAGTTACAGTAAATAAGACCAAAAGGACCATCTCAAATTGAGAAGTTATGAGATTAAGAATCTTACTCACAACGACTGGGCTCATCTACATCAACTACCTCATTTTTCAGGCCGCATCTTAATATAACCTACATAATAATTTACCCACAAATAGATTACTTCAATGCAGGCATCAATGAGTGCCTGAACCACATAAGAAATGATTTCCTTGGGAAAATAGAGAATAGTAAAATGCCTGAATACCAAAGGCGTTGCTTTTTCCCATCATCTGCAATGGAGCCAAAGACCCAATATTTTTTGGCTTTGCCAAAATGATGGAATAAAGCAAAATGGCCCACTAAATTGTCTGCACTTCTTTATTATGAAAAACATTCACTCAATGCGATTTTCGATATGAGTCATCTGGAAACAGTGTCTCTGTGTTTTATTACAGAGGTAAGACTGCGTACATCTGACGCCCTTACCCCACCGAAGGTGGGAGTCTTTGTGGCACTAAGGTAATGATGATGACCAAATGTGTTGCTTGCTATTCATGTTTGCAATTCATATTCATGTTTATTGGTTTTAAATGCCAGAATCTCATAAAACAACAGTAAACATATTAGTTTAAAAGGATTTTAAGACCAGATAAGACAAAAACTGAAGGGGAGCCTTGGCACACCGATTCACATCTTGGGAGCGGCCACTTGTCAAAATTTGATAGGGGAAGGCTTGCCCCTGATCCACCCTTGTGGTGGGACCCTCCCCGGACCCTTGCCTTGCAAGGATGCCTTCGTGCACCGGGCTGCCCTTTTTTTATATAAGACCACTATTTCATGAAAGGGCCCAAACTAAAGCAACAAGTTGAAGAAGTCATTAGTCAAAATCCAAAAAGAAAAAGTCAATTATTGAATTTCTTGTTCTCAGAAACCAGTAGTAGCTATATGTAAGGGGGCTTTTAAATTTTATAATAGATACTAGTTACGTGACGCGCGTTGCGCGATGGGGAATATGCCCAATAGCAACTTTGATCATATAGCTCAAAGCTACAATAAGATGAGACATAGAAACGTACGTTTCAAATCGAAAAAGTTGAATCGCTAATCCCGCAAAGAAATAGACTCTACATTCAGGTCGACGGCTCCTACGACGATCACAATATATAATTCTCAAACAAACAACTTCGTATTAAACATCCCGATTTGTCCAGCCACCGGTAAGGAGCCAAGTGTAGAATTTATTCCGCTTCTATCAGCCACCAGAAAGAAATAAGTCCATGTGATCTCAACTTCCTGGAACAACGATGGTTCAGGAGGGGGTGATCCGTCACAATATCATCGCAGATGAAAATCATATTCTTGATTGATGAAGATATCAATGCAAACCTCTTATTAGCACACATGAATGCCCGACCGAATATGACGGTGAATATAAATTTGGCAGACGACACTACGCCATCGAAAATAATATCTCTAAACAACGTTATAAAAGAAACATATATATAAAATTGAAAACACTGATGAAGTATACATTTTTTCGTTGTTATCTGTAATGCTAATATATGAATTTGTTTCTTAGTTATAAACTTGTGCATAGAAGTAATGCTAGCTATTTTCAAAAAAGAAGAAGTAATGCTAGCTTGAACACTAATAATTAATGAAAGGAATTTCATGTATTACGATGGTTGCAATGTAATCAGTTAATGAGAACTGAGAAGTAATGTTTGAAAATGATTGAACTACCATCTACAAGCCCAGTTCGGACTTCTGAGATCTAAAACAAGAAAAACTTTGTCAAAATAACATCTAAGCTGTATAGTTTTTGTTGAAAGTATCTAAGCTATGTAGTTGTGTAAAGTTGTAGAAGGATACAAATTGTAATTGAAAAAACAGACTTTACTACTTCATTAATTTTATTATTATTTATATACTCCCTTAATTAATTATAGTCGGAACTTTTTCAAAAGGGAAAAATTACGCTCAGAAGTTCAGTCAAAATAAGGTTACTGATCACTCTTTAAAGTAAACAAAAAAGATTCATATGCATGTATCTTATTATATTAATTACATACTTCTTTAATTAATCATTATATTAGCAGTGAATTGATAACAAAACCGAGGGAAAGTTATATATGCCTTAGATAACAGACTTGCTCAGTAACCATATAAGACTATTTATTGGGTCGTGAGAAAAAGTTTGTCTCCACATAATTCTAAGTGACTAACAAACATACAAAACATATAAATCCCTACATTATTTCAAACAGCATGTCTGGTTTCACATTTTTTACTGTAAGAGAAATGATATATCTCCTGCGTTCCAAATTGATTTGCAAAGTCAACAGTTTTTGGTCAATCATTGTTAAAGTTAAATCCTCTCTATTGCTAATTAACTCAATTTTTAATAATTAAAATTTACACAGTCGGAAACTACATTAAAATATCTTCAAAGTTGCTAACTCCAAATTAGAATATAATTAAAAATTAGCATCCTAATTAAGTGAATGAAATGAAACCGTTCGACAAAAAAAGTCAATTTTGCAAATCAATTTGGGACAGATGTAGTATATAATTTGGTGGAATTTTATAAAATGAATGTAGATAAAAATACAATTAAATACTCCGGACAAACAAGCAAAGGACTTCGAAGGTCAAGACTTCTGATCTACAAGCTGACATATCATATTATAAGCAGATTTCCGCCAATGGTCGAAATTCCATAATTCTGAGGATCTATAACCAGCGGCTGATTGAGGGAAAGGGTGAATAACAAGAAAAAGGGAAAAAGGGTAATAATAAGAAATTAAAGCAAACAATTCAATTGGGTAAAATTAGCTCTGTTCGAACCCAATTGAAGTTGTTAGCAACAAAGGAGGAATGAAAAGTTAACGGAAGTTTAAAGAGGTGAAGACTAACGGAAGAAAATTAGAAAACTTAGAATATAATTTAAGGGGTACAATGCTTTAAAATGAATGTACAATTGAATCTAGCTCTACTGTACCACCAACACATTTCATATACCCAAACAACCCTTACCCTCATTCACTCTTATAAGATTGTAGAGATGTGATTATGGGGAGATGAAACCTATGACAAGTTCACAAATTTCTTTTATTTATTCTTGTACTATTTCTCTCATCAATCTTTTTTTTAAACAGAGTTTACTTGTTTGTCCAACCAAAAGAGATCAACAAGTTAGTGCACGTATATACGTATGTTCAGAACTGGCAGGAATCGAAGGACAGTATATGTTGGCACTTGCGACACCCATTATCTCTGAATTCATTGTCTCTATATCAGCTTATTATTCTTCAAAGAAGAGATGGAATGTGAAAAGGGAAACTTTTATGGCTACAATGAGCAGCACACTATTCCAGATGAGGATATTTCATCTTATATTATGCAAACACTTCAATTCAATAAGACTGCAGATTTAGTGCCTATGTCAATTCAAACACTTCTTTTCATTTACTTTTGTACTATTTCTCTCATCCATCTTTTAAACACATAAGATGTTAGGAATATTGAATAATATAGCTGTATATAGCCTACTGAATAACCGATTGTATTGTTAGATTGTTACAGTTAGTTGTAGACTTTCTGATCAGTCTGTTGATCAGTTAGTTAGCTATAAATACCTGTACTGTTTACCTAAATCAATAAGATTCATTTTCTGCCTTTTCTAATATAAGATATGAACAGAGAGATGATTGTGTAAACAGTACATATTACTTCTGCTCCTTTTATCTAAACCAGCTTACCAAAATTTAGATCTACCGTGTATGAATATTTTGAGAAAATTTTAGTATGAATGAGATCAGAGTAACAGACAATGCAACAGTTTACCTTTAAACTTCTATTTGGTCCATTCCAGCACTTGTCTCCATTTGAAAATTGCATGGTACGGTAGGAGTCCTCAAATTTATCCCAGTTCCTTAAATGAAATAATTAAATGTGAGAATTTCATTGCAAATAGTATTGAAAGCAAAGTTTAATTTGTAAAATACTCAATGTCACACGAGCTGACTATGAAATATACTCCCCCCATCCTTTTATTATCTCCTCATTTGACTTGGCACAATTTTTTAGAAATTGAAAATTATGTAGTCTGATGTTTGTTTAGAAGAAAGAGAGACAATATCAGACACAGAATCCTACTCTAAAAGGATATAGGAGATAGTTTAGTACAGCAATAACATCCAAGTCTTAATCCCAAAAAGAATTTGGGGTCGACTAACATGAATCGATCTATGATATCGATCCAAACAGAGAATACAGACAAGAAGGGGAAAAAGTGAGATAAAACGGATAAAATAAAGATAACAATAACATAAGAATATAAGAAAGATAAAAGATAAAAAGATAAAAGAGCATAAAAAAGCTAGAAGATAAAAATAACAAAAGAATATAAAAAGATAAAGACGATAAACGATAAAAGAAAAGAGAGAGGAAAAGTACAAAAGACATCAATCGTCCACACGGATGTGCGCCCTTGACTTTGCTCTCTCCAAAGCCATATTCTCATCCAACCCAAGAAGACGCATATCACTTCTGATTACTCCGATCCAAGTCTGTTTCGGTCTTCAGCTCCCTCTCTTCTCTGCCTTTTCTCTCCACCACTCAAGTCGTCTAACAGGTGCATCACTCGATCTTCTACGCACATGCCCAAACCACCGCAAACGAGACTCCTGCATCTTATCTTATATAGGTGTTACTCCCACCTTTTGTCTAATTATCTCATTCCTCAAGCGGTCTTTTCTGGTATGTCCACACATCCAACGCAACATACGCATCTCTGCCACACTCATCTTTTGAATGTGGCATTGCTTCACCGCCCAACACTCTACGTCATACATTAATGCAGGCCTAATTACCTTTCAGTCTAGTTGGCATACCTCGATCGTATAGAAATCCTGATGGATTCTTCCATTTATTCCACCCAACTCTGATTCTATGGCATGCATCTCCATCTAATTCACCATTCTTCTGAATTATGGAGCTCAAGTAACGGAACATATCACACACCGGTATCTCCTTACCATCAAGAGTAATCCCACTCTTGCTACTACTTCTACCTCCACCAAACTTGCGCTCCATATACTCAATCTTGCTTCGGCTCAGTCTGAAACCCTTGGTCTCCAATGTTTGTCGCCATACTTCCAACTTTGCTTTAACACCGGATTGTGTCACATCAATCAATACAATATCGTCGGCAAACATCATGCACCACGATATATCTTCTTGAATTGACTTCGTATGTTCATCCATGACTATAGCAAATAAGAAAGGACCCAGAGCAGATCCTTGGTGCACTTCGATATTAATAGGGAACTCTCCGGTCCTCCCTACACTAATGCAGACACTTGTTGTAAGAGCATCATACATATCCATGATGATACTGATATACTTACGTGATATGCCTTTTCTAGTTAAGGTCCACCAAAAGACTTCTCAAGGTACCCTACCATATACCTTTTCTAAATCAATGAACACCAAATGCAGATCCTTTTTAATGTCTCTATACTTCTCCACAACTTGTCTAAAAAGGTGAATGACCTCAGTTGTTGAGCGTCCAAGCATAAACCCAAATTGATTCTCCGAAATTTTCACACTTTTACGAAGTCTTTGCTCAATCACTCACTCCCAAAGTTTCATGGTGTGACTCGTAAGTTTAATCCCTCGATAGTTGGCACATTCTTGTACATCCTCCTTTTTAAATGAAAGTACTCTTCCGTCAACTCACTGGCATTTGGTTGTTTCTCCAAATCATGTTGAAGAAACGTGTTAACCACTCGATGCCTTTCTCTCCCAAACTTCTTCAAGCCTCGATCGGTATGCCATTTGGGCCCGCTGCTTTCTTCCGTCCCATTTTTCTCATAACCTCTTTAACTTCTTTTGTTTGAAACCTTCTCACGAAATCCCAATCTACCATACACTCTGGTATAGTAAGATCATCAATACCTTGCACTTTATTCCCGTTGAACAAGGTATCAAAGTATGACCTCCACCTCTCTCTTATTTCCCCGTCCTCCATTAGTACCCTTTGATTGACATCCTTCACACACTTCACTTTTCCGATATCATGAGTCTTACGGTCCCGAAGGCGAACAAGTCCGTAAATATCCTTTTCTCTTCCTTAGAGTCCAATTTTACATACAATTCCTTATTCACTTTTCCTCTGGCTTCCTTCACAACTTTCTTTGCTCTTCTTCTAGCCTCCTTGTACTCTTCTATGTTCTTGTCGCTCCAACTTTTGCCCAATTTCTTATAGCATTCCCTTTTGGCCTTTATTGCTTGTTTCACCTCATCATTCCACCAAGATGTGTCCTTTTTTGGTGACAGACATCCTTTAGATTCTCCGAGTATCTCCCTCGCCACTTTGTTAATGGCGGACTCCATTGATAACCACACATCATCCACATGTGTGTCGTTATCAATAGACCATACATCTCTCTCCAACATTTTGTGTGCAAAACTTTGTTGGAGATTCCCCTCGAACCTCTACCACTTTATCTTTGGCTCCCCTTGTACCTTAACCCACCTCCTCTTTTTACCTTGAAAATCAAGCACATGCATCTTATGCTGAGTGACAGCACTCTCACCTGGGATAACCTTACAATCGGTGTAGCTAGTTCTCCAAGTCGTCCGTACTAAAAAGTAGTCAATTTGGGTACTATTAGTTCCACTTCTATAGGTGACAAGGTGAAAGTCTCTTTTCTTGAACCAAGTGTTCATCACAACCAACTCATATGTCGAGGCAAAATCCAGAATGTTCTTCTCCGCTTCATTTCTAGTGCCAAAACCATGTCCACCATGAATACTCTCAAAACCATCACGACTTGGGCCCACATGCTCGTTGAGGTCGCCTTCTATGACTAGCTTCTCTCCCCTTAACACTCGTCGCACCACTTCTTCAAGATCCTCCCAAAATTGTTGAGTGATAGATGCATCCAATCCCACTTGTGGTGCATAGGCACTTACCACAAACACGATCTCATCTCCTATTATCAACTTAATGCTCATGATGCAATCGTTCTTCCTAAAGACTTCAACCACTCCTTCAACATAATCATGCACCACCATAATGCCTACTCCATTTTTGTTCTTCTCTCTCCCCGAATACCACAGCTTAAAACCTTCGGGATTAATCTCACGTGCCTTTTCTCCAACCCACTTAGTTTCTTGCTTGCACATTATGTTGATATTCCTCCTCTTCATAACCTCGGCTATCTCAGATGATCTTCCCGTAAGAGAGCCAACATTCCATGTCCCAAAACACAATTTAGCACTTTGCCTTCTCTTCTTCACAACACATCGACCCCCACAATGCCCTTGCATATTTGACACCATCCCCGGGCATTGGAGTGGGGTGTCGCTTCCGGGGCGACGACCTAACAGCGTTAGCATTCTTATCACTACATCCTAGGCGGAGGGATGACGCATCTCTCACAGGCGACGACCTGGCTGTTTCGATTCATGTCATGTCATGTGACTAAGTGATACTGTTGGTCGTCACGCGCCTACCACAGCACCCTCCTCCTTTATCCTGGCTTGGGACAGGCATGATACCAAAAACTGGTCTCATGGCGGAGTTTAGGCACGCCCAGTGGGACACGAACCCACAATCGCTTGATTAGTCAGACGGGACTTCAATACTTAGATATACAGCCCTCAACGAATATGTGCACCTGTCCACCAAATCAGCAAATATGGGATATTTGCTGATTTAGTCTCCTTGTGCATGTGCTTTTATTAGTCCGTGTAATGTCTTGTGACTAATAGGTTAGTTCACATTGTAGACTTCTTTATCTGAATGTACCATTAAAGTAAAAATCTCACCAGAAAAGGAAAAGCTGCTGCCTGCATGAAATTTTATGCTGGAAATAGTACATTCTGATGGAAGTCCTTAATGTGAACAAATTTCTTTTACAAGTGAGTAAAGTTACATAACTAAGAACTAATAATTAATAATGGACAGTCATAAGTGAATTAAATATGCAATTTTCTGAAAAAAATACTCCCTCCAGTCCTAAATAAACTTCACACTTTCTTTTTTGGGTAGTCCAAAATAAACTTCACACTTCTATTTTTGGCAAGTTTTTAATATAAAGTTACTCTTCTACCCTTACTTTATTACCTACTTTTACACCCACTTCCTCTCTCCCACTATACTTTACCTACTAACTTTTGATCAGTGTTTTTGCAGTTAACTGAGGTGCAACTATGTATTGTTTTTTAGAACATATACCATAAGAAAAGTAAAAAAACATACCCCAGACGAGTTGTACTGTAGCCCTCGACTTGGCTAGCTTCTTTGAAAGGGCAAATTTTGTACGTATACCTGAGACCATTTTTTGAAATAGCAAAATAAAGAATGATTGAGCAAAAGTAATGCAGGTGAGAAGAAAAATGAAAATGAAAAGCTCTAACTTATTCTGCTTGCTTTCAAAACATTGGTCATAATATGAATAGAATTCCTTGTCCGGCCCTGCAACAAAAGCGTGAATTCAGGGCATGCAAATAGTGAAATTTATGTGGAATGAAAAGATTGAAAAGTAATCAATCCTCCTCTTCATCCTATTTACCTAACCCCGTCCCAATTTCAAAATGATCATCTTTGGACCTACCAAAATCATGTTTTAGCTTTTGCGTCAGACTAGATATTCTTGATTGTATTTTTGACAACTTGGCACTTGAGTCGTCATAGTCTTTCCGCACGCGTGTAGCATCTATAGAAAGTGAAATGCTGACACATTAGCAATCATCATGGATTATTGCACAACAAAGCAAATAAACCTCAATCGCTACCAGAAATGTTTACTGGAGTCCGGAACAAATTAACAGCTACAAAAAGCCTCCGGACATATTGTTTTATCTTTTCCATCCAAGGTGGATTAGTAGCATCTGAAAGAAATTAGGTATCAGTTAAATGGAAAATATCAGGTGTCATCACAGTGCATGGAAATAGCCTATAGAAACTCTCTGCAGACCTCCTAAATCGAAATCATCATCGGACTCAGACTTGTATGAAGAACTTGAGACATGATTATCTTCCCCACCATATTCTTCTACGTCGTCTACAGCCTCAGCATCGTCATCTTCATTTTTAAGGTCATCCTCCTCAGAATCATATGCATCATATTCTTCATCAGTTTCATTAGTTACTTCATCATGATGATCATCGTGGTCTTCTTGATCATTACCTTTCGGAGATTCTTTCACTTCTATTCCCTGCTCAGACTTTTTTCCTGTCCAACGTGAACCAACGAGGCGCCCCAACTCTTCCCTTGACAAGGACTTTGTATTTTGAATCTCTTCATTCTCCTGGAAATGCCAAACAGTAGTAAGTGAAATGGACATAGTAGTGCTATCCTTGTCCAAGAATTGCCATCATATGGATGAACATAGTAGTGCAAAAACTAGCAATGATGGAAATGCTACAGATGTATAAACTTTGTAGCCACTAAATACATAACTTTATACAAATGACAGAGTTGAATAATGAAACAAGGACAAGAAAATCCCTCATCACAGAAAAATGGGAACCAAGAGAAGAATAAGACATACGAGTTCATAGGAAGCAAACTGTTTAAATCTAATATAGAGCACATGCACAAAACTGTACAAACATGTTCCAGAAACCAGTCACTATGATTCACATGATCTGAGAAGTTAGGTATAAGAGTATAGCCTGGACAGCACACAAAAAACAAGAAGCAGATAAACATGGAATAAGCACTATTATTCCGTGGTAATCTCCAGAATACATTACTATGCCAAATAACAACCAGAACAGTTTTGCCTCAATAAGAAGCAGCATAAGGCCAGGTTCGTGGTAATCTTCTATATGCAATAGGTACACGCACTCTATCCACAATGTTAGAATGGCATTAAAAATATATCATATGCCAACACGCTGATGTGCAGCTACTAAAAACAGATCTGGGGTGGGCATAAAAATGAAAAAATTGGGATGCTTATTGTTCATGATTCAAGTCAGATTTGTAAAATTCTGTTTCAGCCATTTCAAGCAGCCAAAAAACATCATGTTTTGGTCAGGCCACAGATCCAAGGATTTGGGCTTGAATCTGACTCCAAACTTGAAAGTTACCATACAAATAAAAAGGAACATGTTTTCTTGGGTTACCCACATGCGCCTAACTTTTCATTATGCTTCACACCTTCTCACTAACTCGTATATCTGACATATTAGATAACAATCCTCTTCTCACTCCCTTACTGCCTTTACCTATTTCCTGACTGATTCCTATAGATCTCCTTTCACCATGCTCAAATTGGTAACCACCAAACCAACTCCCTAGTCCTCTGTCAACAGATTCACGCTTCTGGAGCTTTGTAATAATATACCTGTTAGGGATCCATTATTTCACACTTTGGCCAGCCATAAGCGACCGCTACTTACATGTCCAAAGATTCATATACCTTTTATAATCTATAACGTTATTATAAAGCATATTTGTGTTAAATTTTCAATAATTGAAAGCCAATTTTGGTCAGTACAAAGATGACCTTTTGCTCTTCACTTGATAATAGTCAAGTCTTAAGTTCTGTTGGCATTTATGAGTGACCAAGTTTGTTTTGTAGTAAATATAGTATTAGACTGTTGTCCTAAACTTTCATAGCTCTAAACCTTGAGGAGGGGGGGGGGGGGGGGGGGTGATGAATATCATAACTCTAACCCTGGTGATGGTTGGCTTCACTCGTTTCATATATCTTAGTGATAAAAACAAGAAACTACTCTAGACTTCAGATATAATACATTATTCTGTTATTTCTATACAAAACATAGATGATTGATCAGAAATATAATCAAGGTTTTACTACCTCACTGGTAATATGACCAAATTTATCATCACCTCCACCATCACACCTACCACCACAACCACCATCATCGGACGGCTGCTTTTGCTTTTCCACCAACTGTTGAACAATTGAAGCACTAGTTATTTTCATGTAAAGTATATGACTAAGATTATAAGATACTACATTTCAAATTCAAAAACTGATGCACCTTGGGAAAATCATCTGGCACCTGATCTGATTCCTCACTAGGAAATTCATCCATTGTTGAATCACTTATTTCAACTTTATCCAAAGCAACATCATGATCTTCGACCTCGTTCTGGAAGATGGCTACAAGTAATAAGTATTGGTTGTACACTTGTACTCAATGTGGGGAAAAAGTGATACGGTGTAGTTATGATTGATGAAAAAAGCTATGCATGATTTTCTTGGTGTACATAACGAATTAAGACCTATAACCTATGAAGTTTGAAAAACAATCTATTAATGGTTAGAAGAAGCATGGAAAAAAATCTGCACTTTGAGAGAGAACACCTTATGAAGCAATAGGATTAAAGTTAAGGTATGAATCATAAAATGCGACTTTAACGAACATTAGAGGGCTTCTTGAACAAATTATACACCACAAAAAGACGTACAAGATGTTCTGAAATGTATGAACTAGATAACCTAGCTTAGAGGTTACCCCAAAGTAAAAAGACTCATAAATGTGTTAAATTATAAGAATCGAAAACCCTAGGTTAGCATTAAGGCCATTCATGCATGCTCAGTGCTCATCCATATAAGTATGTATCTTCCTCAGAATTTATAATTACAAAAGCATCGATGTGAATCTTAATATTTCATTTGGTTCTCTTATTTTGCTTGTTCCAAATCATCAATTAAATCTTATTATTTTATACTCATCAATTCATCATAACTTGTGCATCATTTAATCCACATTGTCAAACGCATATGTGACTAAACCAAACCTGTATTTCAAGAGAGTTATCAAGAAGACCAATCTCCTCATTCATGTTATCCTTCACTGCTTCATAATGATTTTCAGATTCATCGTGTGTTTTAGACTCCTCCAGCTTTGTTTGTTCTACTTCTTTCCCTTGTGTTTCTTTTTCTTTCTCCAACCTCTCTTTCTCATCAGCCTTCTGTATCTCTTCATTGATGTTATCCTTCACTGCTTCATAATGATTTTCAGATTCATCGTGTGTTTTAGTCTCCTCCAGCTTTGTTTGTTCTACTTCTTTCCTTTGTGTTTCTTTTTCTTTCTCCAACCTCTCTTTCTCCTCAGCCTTCTCTATCTCTTCCTTGTGTGCTAGAATGAAGTAGATTAAATTAAAATATTTGTAGAAAAAAGTTCAAGTCCCAATAAGCCAGGGAGTTTAGTTCCCGCAACTCCCTGGCTTCTTTATAAGATTTTTTTTGCATGTATGGTACTTGACTAGTGCAGAAAAACTAGTTATTCGTTTTATAATTTGCAAATACAAGGAACCCTAAACTGCCCAAATACCTACAAATATGTAATTGACTACAAAGCTAACTATGACTAATGTGCTACTCCAATAACTAAGAACATCAAATTGACTTGATAACTATTGAAGGAAATAAATAATTGACATTTAAGGAATAATATTGCATTTAGCCGTTACATATCTCTATCATTATTATTGTATTATTACCTACCTTATAGACTTGATTAGTGATTGTATAAATAACACCTATTGTAAACCTTTTTTATCATCATCGAATATACTCAAATCATTTGTTCCTCTCTTCTCTATTATGGTATCAGAGCCACTGAGCTCTAACCAGCCCTTTTCCTTATTACCCCTATGACAACAAACGACAGCCACCCTGAGGTTCTCCTCCAGCAAGGAGACCTCGACAACATCCCTACCAGTACACCTATCCCTTCTAATACTCCTTCAACCACACTTACAGCACCTCTCACCCCAGATGGATTAATCCTGTTAAATCCCAGTTACTTCCCAGAAAAACTTGATGGTTCAAATTACCTGGTATGGCGGGATCAGATTTGGGATCTTCTTTTTGGGTCTCATCTTGATCAGTATATATCTGATGATGCTGCCCCACCACCGAAGAGTGATGTTGATGGTCATCTCCGGTGGACTAGGCAAGACCGGCTTATCCGACATCCTCATAGCTTCCCTGAATTCGACCTGTAAACCTTTGGTTGGGTCCTCTCGCACATCTGCAGCAGTTTGGAAGACTCTAGAGGAACTCTACGGGACTTGTTCACCATCCCAAATCCGCAACATGAAGGACATCTTCCGCCACACCCGACAAGGCTCTCAACCAGTGGGGGCGTATCTCCATCACCTGCGCACGCTCGCCAATGAACTGGCTCAGGCCGGCCGGCCTGTAGACAATGAAGATTTCGTCGTTCAAGCACTGGAGGGACTCCGACCTGAGTTTGAATCCTTTGCTAGCTTCATTCGTACCTGCGGCGATAACAGGTTTAAGACGATCTATCTCACTGGCTTCGAAGACTCCATGAAGCGGAAAGAAGACTTTAACTCATCCGTTGTTGTGGTGACGGCTAATAACATGACTACAGAAGAGTCGGCAGCACTTGTGGCTCGCAGAGATTCAGCCCCGTCAATTTTGGGCTTTGGACCTCCGCCCCAATTTCAACAACAGGCAACAGCCCAATCGCACTAATTATTCGGCCCGCAATACTAATCGGAATCAACCCAGAAACCAGCGACCCAATACTCATTACAGTCCCAACCGACGTGGAAATAACAATTCTGGGGGTCCTACAAGCAATCAGGCAGCCCGCAACAATTCAGGGAGTGGTAATTTCGGGCCCAATGTTACATGTCAAATTTGTGGGAAACCGAACCATTCTGCTCTCAACTGTTGACATCGGTTTGAACAACAAGCTTATCCTCCCCAAGTTAATACGACTGTCACTCGTCACAATGGCTGACTACTTGATTCTGGAGCGACCAATCACGTCACCAATAACCTGAATAATCTTACCTTGGCATCTGATTATACTGGCACTGATTCTTTTGTGATTGGTTAACGGTAAAGGTCTTGCAATAGCACAAGTCGAGCATATGACCCTTCACTCTCTTTCCCTACCTAATACTCTTTTTGTCCTTTCTATTCATACCAATTTAATTTATGTCGCCAAATTATGTCGTGATAATGACGTACTAATTGAATTTCATTCTTCTTTTTGTACTAAGGACCGGCGAACGGGAGCAATTTTGTTACGGGGTATGAATAAAGGAGACGTTTACAGCTTGCCAGATGTACCTCCTCCACCATCTCCATCCGTTCACATCACACAAAAATTTTCCCTTAATAATTGGCATTGTCGTTTAGGGCATCCTGCCCTCCCTATCACAAAAAAAAATCTCTCTTCCTTAGGTATTTCTTTTTCTGATGTTACTACAAATAATTCTTTATGTGTCTCGTGTGCTAGTAATAAAAGCCATAAGCTGCCATTTGCAAAATCATCTCTTACGAGCTCTAGACCTTTAGATTTAATATATACATATGTTTGGGGTCCCGCTCGTGTTAATTCTGTTGATGGCTTTCGTTACTGTGTTATTTTTGTCGATCATTATACCAAATATATTTGGTTTTACCCTATGGCTCATAAACGTGAGGTCACTCCACTCTTTCAGGAGTTTAAAAAGATTCTTGAAAACTTTTTTCAACGCACAATTAAAACAGATTATTCTGATGGGGGAGGCAAATACATAACCTTAGGGAAATTCCTAAGCACATGTGGTATTTCTCATTTATTTACCCCTCCCCCCTACACTCCAGAACACAATGACTTTGCTAAACGTCGACATCGTCACATTGTGGAAACTGGTATCACCCTACTTCACCATGCGTCCATACCTCTTCAATATTGGTCTTATGCTTTTCTTACAGCTGTTTATCTTAGCTGTTTATCTTATCAATAGACAACCTGCTCTCTCCCTTAACTTCTGCACTCCATATGAAAAGAGAAAAGGGTCAAATAAGCCCATCTACTATTATGAAATAGTCACATAAGGCCATGTACGCAAAAAAGTGTCATTTAAGTACCTCTACTTGTAAAAAGCAATCAAATGAGTCCTAATGACCTATTTAACACCTCTTAATCTCGGTTTCAACGTACTTCTGACCATCTTTTTAGAATACATTATACGGCATATGTTGAATATTTAACTAAGATTGGTTGAAATACAAGTCAAAAAATCGACATGTAAGCTAAAATCAGGATTAGGAGGTGTTAAATAAGCCGTTAGGACTCATTTGAATGCTTTATACAAGTAGAGGTACGTATATGACACTTTATTGAGTACATGGCCTTATGTGACTATTTCATAATAGTAGAAGGCCTTATTTGACCCTTTTCTCATATGAAAAACTCTTCCAACAACCTCCTAATTATACTAAACTTGTTGGTTTTGGGTGCCAGTGTTTCTCTTGGTTACGTCTTTATACCACTCATAAATTGGAACCACGCTCTAAATCGTGTGTTTTCTTGGGGTATTGTGACCAACAAAGTGCCTATCGTTGTCTTGATCTTACCACTAACCGGATCTTTGTCAGCAGACATGTTGTGTTTGACGAGACAATCTTCACCTTTTCTACATCCCCACCACCAGTCTCAAATATCACTTCTGAAGTTGATCATTGGCTTCAACCTTCCATGTCTTATCTTCCCATTTCAGGTACTCTAGTCACGGGGGCGTCTTCTCCTACTCATACCTCGACTCAACAACTCACTCCCGGTAAGTCACCTAATACTTCCACCCAAAGTGATATCCAAACTTCTCCCCATCCTAAAGCCACACTGCCACAAATCATTACTTACCACCGTCGACCCAAACCCAATCCTCCTATACCCACCCCTCATCCACCCACCACCACTGAGCTTATTACTGCAACCCCACACCTCGATAATTCCCCACCCAAACGTACTCATCCAATGACCCTTCGACCCCGTAAACAAGCCAATATTGCTACTAATATTCCTCTACCTCACCATATAATTCCCACTCGTGCTTCTCAAGCTATGCAGGTACCGGAATGGCGGAGTGCTATGTTAATTTGATGCCTTGGTTCGACAGGTTACTTGGGATCTTGTTCCACCTCAGCCTGGCCAGAATATTGTAGGTTGTAAATGGGTATATACAATGAAGTATAAGTCGGATGGTTCATTGGATCGTTACAAGGCTCGGCTAGTAGCTAAGGGCTTTCAGCAACGCCCGAGATTGATTATTCTGATACAGTGATACTTTTAGTCCGATCATAAAACCGGTCACTATTCGCATCGTTTTGACTATTGCTCTCTCTCATGATTGGCCGGTACATCAATTAGATGTCAACAACGCTTTCCTACATGGGACTCTTCAGGAGGAAGTTTACATGAAGCAACCGCCTGGTTTTAATGATAGTTCTAGGTTTGTGTGTCGTCTTCGAAAATCCATTTATGATCTTAAGCAAGCGCCTTGGGTATAGTATCAGGCTCTTAGTGGATTTCTTCTCTCACTTGGATTTCATCAGTCTGTTGTTGATACTAGTATATTCATATTTTCCTCCCATCCATCTTATATTTATGTGTTGGTTTATGTGGATGACATCATTGTTACTGGTTTTACAACGGACTTGATACGTCAGACTATTGACTCATTGACCCATAAGTTCTCTATCAAGGATTTAGGAGCCTTACACTATTTCGTGGGCATGCAGGTTACTCCTACACAGGGTGGACTCTTTCTTGATCAACATAAACACATTATGGACTTATTAAAAGTCTTAAAATGGATTAGGCTAATCCTGTGGCTACACCGTAAGCTTCTTCTGCCTCTTTAACTCTGTTTGATAGTTCAGGCTCTTGTGATGCCACTCTCTATCGACAGGTCCTCGGGTCTCTTCAATATTTGAATCTTACTTGCCCAGATGTTGCTTTTGCTATTAACAAATTAGCTCAATTTATGCATAAACCTACGGTTAATCATTGGCAATTCTCAAACGTCTCTTGCGCTATCTGCACGGCACTGCCTCTCATGGCCTCTATCTTTGTCGCAACACCTCCCCCTCTCTATGTGCCTTTGTTGATGCTGATTCAGCAAGGAATCCTGATGATCGTTCCTCTACCGGCGCATATGCCATCTTTCTCGGGGAATTTCTTATATCTTGGAGATCAGTTAAGAGCGCACTATTGCTAAGTCTTCCACGGAAGCAGAATATCAAGCTCTTTCCGCCGCTGCCTCTAAAATTATTTGGATCGAATCTCTCTTGTGTGAGTTGCGGCACCCGCTCCTTTCTCCTCCACTC